AGTTTGGTAAATTGAAAATCTACAGGCTGAAGAAATCAGAGTTATAACCTATGTGATTAATTTAAAATTGAAGAGGCTGAGTTCCTCAGAGACTTGATGAGAAATAGAGAAAAAGACTGAAGAAGGAGGGGATGGTTAACAGAGAAAAGGAGTTAATCAACAATTAGAGATAATAGGGGTCCTTTATGCTTGAAGCATCTAGCACCCTGAACAAAATGTATTTTAGTAGTAATAGAATGATTGAATTGAATGATAGAAACTGACCACATCATACCTTTTTCTTCCAACCATCCAATGTCACACAAATATGCAGCCTTCCATAGTTACATTCATCGCCTATTAACAATCCCTCTATCACAATCTAACTACCATACAGAACTCAACACCCTTAAGCAAATAGCAGTCAACAATGGATATAACCCCAACCTTATCAACAAACTAATAAATAAGAAACAACTCAAACTTTTGAGAGAGACTGCGTTCCCCAGAGACTTGACCATCAAACCACATTACGCTTCTTTGCCATATCTTCAAGAACGTCTTTCTGGAGATATTAGATATATCCTAAAAAGATCTGTTGAGAACACTCACATTTCTTTCAAAGTTTCGAACAATATAGGACAATGTTTAACAAATACAAAAGATCCCATCAACTACATGGATCGTAGTGGTGTTTATAAATTACAGTGCTCTGATTGTGATGCTACATATATAGGTAGAACCTGTAGATCACTAACTTCCCGTTCCTTAGAACACACTAAAAAAGAGAACACTTCCACCTTCTCCCAACATCTTGCACAACATAAACATACCCTCAACATCCCAGAAGACGTCTCTTTGTTACATAACATCCCGCAAAAAAATTTTCTAAAATTAGATCTATATGAAGACTTGGAAATAGTCAAGGAAAAGCAAAGTAGCCCCAATTGCGTCAATCGTCATGTATCGTTCAACCGGGACTTTCAACCCTTACATCGACAACTCTTGTCATAGTCCACGCTTCACAATATTGCCTTACTTTCTTTGCCAGTCTATCCTATACAAACTTCTACACCATTAATCCTATACAATATTTGTGTTTCTTTAAACAATCTTCCTCTACAATATTGCCACACCTCACCTCAACAACATTTTCGACCCCATTGTTAACTTCAGAACCATCCATATCTATCATAACAAAATATTTCAACAATTTTCTCCACTCTTCATATCTACATCACATTCCTATCCATTCTTTTCTCTTTCAATATTTCTTGGTCAACTCATTTATCAAACATGTACTCAATATTTTTAACTATTTATTCTCTCAAACATTATCTAACATTTTATCAAAATTCATATTATTTGTGCTTCTTCAAACAACCAATCTCTAAACTTTTTACACTCCTTCCCTTCATCACTTTTCGACCCTAGTGTTAACTTTATAACCACCCACATCTGTCATACCATAATATTTTATCATTTTCTTCAGTCTTCACATCTACATCACATTCCTGTCCTTTCTTTTCTTTCATTATTTCTTGGTCAATTCATATATCTAACATGTTCTCAATAGTTTTAAAGTCAGTAATCATTCAAACATCATCTAACTGTTTTTCAAATTTCATATAATTTTCCCCTCATAAAAAAATCCTATTCCAACATTGCTCACCTTCTTTTGATCAACAACTAAATAGCACATTCATATTTCAAATTTTAGATTTATACAAACCGAATCTATTACTACTAAAATACATTTTGTTCAGGGTGCTAGATGCTTCAAGCATAAAGGACCCCTATTATCTCTAATTGTTGATTAACTCCTTTTCTCCTTTAACCATCCCCTCCTTCTTCAGTCTCTTTTTCTCTATTTCTCATCAAGTCTCTGAGGAACTCAGCCTCTTCAATTTTAAATTAATCACATAGGTTATAACTCTGATTTCTTCAGCCTGTAGATTTTCAATTTACCAAACTTGTTTTCATTAATTTCTCACCATACTAACAGTCTTAAATAGTCATTTAAATACAAGGTCTTATATTAGCTTTAAATATTTACTATTTAAAATTTTTACCTGTCCTAGATGTGATAAACATAAAAGGATAATTTTCATATATATAAGCTAATCTAACACAAAATACACTTTTAGACCATACTCCATACGACAAAAAGCAACATAGGTTGCCTAATACACAGGTCATCCTCTCAAACATGACTTTAACACCATTGATGATTTCACATCGATTATAACCCAAATTTTAAATCCCAACACCAATATTGCTGTTATTATTTTAAAATCATCAAAATAATTTTTGAATCTTTTGGCTGTAGTAATACTAGGTATAACTAATATAGTTCTATGTTACATTGACATTTTTGTTTATGTCACCTTTCATAGGTATATTGTAAATCAGTTTCCAGCTGTTCTCCGTGCGTTGAGGTTTCTCCCCGGCTCTGGAACTCAAAACTTTTTACAATGTATGTTACCTGAAGTCATATCTAATTTAATAATGAACATCACAGTTTTTTAACAACAAGATGTATAATCTTTAATAACTATAAGTAATTTAAAGGGTTTTTTACCCATGTATTTTGGGGCTCAGGCTTTAACCTAGTAAGTATAGCCTTTTCTTTTTACATAGTCAATAAATCATAACACGTTGTATTATATTTTAGCAGATTTTAAATGATGACTGTTAGTCGAAAACGTTTGTTTTTTTTTATGTAGCCTTTAGGGTTTTTATTTAATTACATTACCCTTTTATTTTATTATAAAAATAACTTTAAAAACATTCATGAAAATAAATTTAATAAATTCGGATCGATCACTCTAATATCATAATTTTATTTATGATTAATAAAAATAATAAACTTGTACGGTTATTTAAAAAATTCCCTGGACTCTCCTTTAGAACGGATTTCAATGGTTTTATTTGAAAGTTTAAACGCACTTTTGTGAGTAAAAAAATTTAAAGTATTTAAAACTGTTTTTATGGGCTCTGTATAATTTTCAATACGTGTGCTAGTTGAAAGATGTAGAGATGTCGATTCTGATGTATACTTGTGTTTTATAAACTTCAGAAGGCGTTTGACCTGGTGAAACATGATAAACTAATAGATATTTTAAGGTTCATGTAATATCGACGATAAAGAGTTAAGGATCATTTCAAACCTCTACCAAGAACAAAAGGCTAAAATCAGAAAAAAAGCGAAACATCTGGAAAAATCAATATCGAGAAGGGAGTAAGACAGGGATGTGTCCTATCACCTTTGCTGTTCAATGTTTACTCTGAGAAGATATTTCAGAAAGCTTTGGAAGGCACCTCGGATGGTATAATTATAAACGGGCAATATATAAATAATCTGCGATATGCTGATGACACTGTCATACTGTCAGATAATGCTGAAGCCCTGCAACGCTTAATGGACCGAGTAACGACAGCCTGTAGAGAATTTGGAATGAAATTGAATACAAAGAAGACAAAAACGATGGTCATCAGCAAGCACCAAAACAGAAGGGTGAAGGTCAATGTCGACAGAACAGATCTGGAAAGAGTAACAAGAACAACGTACCCTGGAAGTAATCTTGATGAAACTTGGGACCACTCACTAGAGATAAGAATACGACTGGAAAAGGCACGTACAATGTGGAGCTCATCTCATTGAGAACTAGAATACTTAAGTGCTATGTTTTCTCCACCTTGCTCTATGGTGTTGAAGCCTGGACAATGACAGAAGCAACACAAAAAAGAATCCAAGCATTCGAACTCTGGTGTTACCGTAAAATGCTCAGAATATCCTACATGAGCCATACGACAAATGCGGAAGTCTTGCGGAGGATGAATAAGGAAAGACAGCTTATGCTTATAATAAAATGACGGAAAACACAATATTTTGGTCACATCATAAGAAATCAAAAGTATGAACTGCTCCAACTTATAATCGAAGGCAAAGTCAATAGCAAAAGAGGACCAGGAAGAAGACGCAACTCTTGGCTTAAAAACCTACGGCAATGGACGAACATGACCTCCATAGAACTATTCAGGGCTGCACAATAAGATAATGGAAATGAAGGCCAAGTCCTAAGGATAAGGCACCGTAAGAAGAAGATAATTTGGAAAATTAATAACTTTTTTTTCAAAAATTGAATAAATGCAAAATTATTTTGTAAAATCTACTTAATCGATTATCGATTCTGCTGAAATTTTGTGGATTTGTTTTTTCTATTAGAAAGATTTTAGGGTAAATTTTGAAGGTTGTATGTTGCTTTTAAATACCTGACTATATTATTTAAACATTGAATTTTAACACTTTGTTAATGATTTTTGCTAATTTAGCAATAATAATTTTCTTTTAATTTTCAATCAATTCGATTTTGTAGAAAATTGAATTGCAAAACTTTTTTAACTTCGCAATTGTTTTCTAAAATGTAGTCTGCCGAGATATCGCAATGAAAGAAAATTATTTTTACAAATTGTCTGATAAAAAATTAGCCCACCTTTTAAAGTAACCGCAGGGATTAAAGCAAAAAAAACCAGGATTATATACGATTTATCCAAATGGGGGTGTTTTCGAAGAAATACAGCCTGACTAAAAGCATTTGTAGATAGTAAATATCATTGTGGTCATACCCCTTTTCAGCAAAAATTACGAAATTTACTGAAATTACTGTCACTAACCGTATTTATTTTCATACCTACAGGGATTTGATATTTCTGAGCTTTGTTAAAAACGATTTGTTAAGCTGAATTTTCATAATAAAACTTTTGAAAATTTAATTAAAAATATCCAGTTTCCATTTTAAGTGTAAAATATCAGTTTCATTGTCATTAAAATGTCATTTTTTGAAGTAGCTAAAGTTCTAAGCCATTTCGTTTTCACAGCCTATATCAATTAGGATTTCTCTCGATAACTCTATAATAATCACCTAAAATTTTAAGTTAAAGATGCAATTATTCAATAATTTCATTAATGATGACGATGAATATCATGACGATGACGATAATGATGATGTTAAATTTACCTTATACTCTCTAACATTACTTCAATATCTTCGTTGTTCTGATCTGTTAAATACCCAGCATAAATGAGTGGATTCTCTTCTGGATCTTTACTTCTGAGAAGAATTCTTCCTTTAGATTTTGGGATTCAAAAGTGTTGAATAGAAAGAAAGAAACGGTCTACTATAGGCGGCATCGTTTTTACTCAAGAAAATTTCATCTGTAAGACCAGAAGCTCTAGCAAGTTCAGGAAGTAAATAAGGATCAGAAGGTGGGCAAAATAAATAATGGTAACAAATATTTGGATATGAGGAATCGTTCTTGGTATTTATGAAGTTTAACAAGTTCGTCATACTAATGGTAGCTAGTTCTCCTTCGTTGTACCTAAAATATTTGTATATCGTTTCCAGCTTATTGTTTGTTAGAAGAGACTCTAATTTTAGGCTGACGTCAAATCCTGTATGTACCACATGGTCTTCCAAATTATGTCCAACCGGTAAATTCTTGATAAGGGGTATTCCTAATTCTTGGAGGTGTTTTTTAGGCCCCAATCCAGACAACATTAAAACTTGGGGTGAGTTAATGGCACCCGCTGAGAGAATAATTTCTTTTTTAGCTTTCAAAGTAACTAGTTTCTTGCCTATTTTAACTTCAACAGCTTTCGCTGATTTTGTTTCTGGATCGATCACTATTTTTTGGACATAAGAGTGAAGGGCAGAGTATAAATTTGCTCTGTCTTTAATCCTACCTAAAAATGCTTTGGCTGAGTTTTCTCTGGCACCTTCTGATATAGTCATCGATCCTACTATACTACCTAAAGGGCGATCAGGATTTTCTTCGGCAAGGACGGGATATCCCAAAAGTTCGTTAGCCTCGGTAATGGCTTGCGTGATAGGATGACCTAAAACATAAAATTCTTATTTAGAGGTTGTAGGGTAAAAAATTTATACACCAGCCAAAGTTGTCAAAGTTAAAGAAGATTTTATTGATTTGTTAAGTTCTCTCGATCTGTCTATAATCCGATTATCCCTCCATATGAATAATATAGACTTTTCCATTCATCCAGTATTATCATATCTGGCTTTTGTGTTTTCATTATATCTGCGTTTGATAATATCACCTTCCATGTTGTTTGCTGTAGATCTTGTTTTTTCAATATAGATTCCTATCTTTACATTACGTTTGGCTTATTTCCTCTTTAGTAGGAAGAATTGCTAAGTTGGACCTTTTTTGAGAAGAAGGAAGAGAGGAAGGTTAAAGAACATCTAGTGGGAGCATGTTAAGCAAGACAAGTATACCAATTGAAATTAATATTGGTATGGTCCAGGCAAAAGGAAATCAATAGAATATGTAGAAATTTAATAAAAACAATAAGAAGCAGAATGATACAAGAGAAATAAGAAAAAAGAAACAAGAAAATAAAAATAGAAGAAGTAATACAAAACAACAAAAATATGAAATGCTTAAGCCGAATTAGGTAAGTTTGAAATAAAACAAAATAAAGATGTAGAATGGAATGGAAACAAACGTTAAAGATGACTCATAAATTATAATCCACCATTTCTACTCAGAATTATATAAAACAAAAAAGGAACCACCAGAGAACATTAAAAACCAACTTAAGGTCAAAATACAAAAATGTCAACTCAGAGCTGCAGCCCGAAAATAAGCAAATCAGAAATAAAGAGAAGGCATTGAAAGAAATGAAAAAACAACAAATCGCCGGAAAAGATGGAGATTAACTGCAGAGATGCATGAAATATGGTGGAAAAGTGGTAATTAATACTCTACATTACCTTTTTAACAAGATATTAAAAGAAAAAAGAATCCCAAACAACCTGGAAGGAATCAGTAACCATTATCCTACACAAAGAAAGGGGATAAAGCAGATATAAAAACTACCGTCCTATAACACTCTCTCAATGTAATGTATTAAACTACCTAACAAAAATTTTTAACCAATAGATTGACGACAAAATTCGATGGATACCCAGTCGAAAGAAACAAGCTGGTATTAAGAAAGGGAATTCAGCACAAGTGACCATTTACTACAGTATGAAAATACTTATAGAACGAGCAAATGAATACCACATTCACTCTATATATGGCGTTCGCATAGATTTCGAAAAGGCTTTCGGACAGTGTCAGAACATTGGGCAGTGAAAAGTTCTTTGATTAACAGCCGAATTGACCACAGATATACGGAACTAATAACCAATAATATATAAGGAAGCCAAAACAACAATTTAAGTATATGAAGGAACAAAATCGTTACAAATAAGTAGAGGCTGTGGAGACAGGGTGATACACTAATCACCGAAACTTTTTCAATCAGGCTCTTGAAGATACTTAGACTTTTAATAAGATTAGAATGGGAAAAAAATGGTATAAAAATTTGTGGACAACGCTTGAACCATCTAAGGTACGCTGATGACATCGTATTGATAAACCGATAAAAAGAAGAATTATTTGAAATGATGATAAGAACTGGACGTAGAAGCTGAAAAGATAGGCCTTAATATGAATTTTACAGCAAGACCAAAACTATAACAAATACAGATGAAGACATCCACAATGAGAATCGGACAAGATGAAATAGAACTAGTTTAACGGGATTAATATAAATATTTTATATCTATATACTATATATATATATATATATATATTATATTTCTTGGTCAAACTATAAAACTGTAACAAAGAGAACCAAACAGCAGAGAATCAAGGAGACGAGTTAGACTGGCATGGGCGGCATTTGGCAAACTAAGCTACATTCTTAAAAACAAAAGCTATCCACAGCATCTTAAGACCAAAGTATATAATCAATGCGTACTCCATGTTCTTACTTATGGTTCCCCACACGTGGACATCTACAAAGCAAAACATGGACAAAATCATAAAAACCCAAAGAGCAATGGAAAGACAAATGTTGCACATAAGACTAATGGATAAGAAAGAAACGAGTGGATAAGAGAGAAAACAAAAGTGAGGGATGTTAAACAAGAAGTTGCAAAAATTGACAATGGAGATTTGCCGGACACAATATAAGACAAAAAGAAGACCGCTGAAACAAAATTCTTATAAGTTGGAGACCGTGGGAATATAAACGAAGCAGAGGAAGGCCCCAAATGAGATGGGCAGATGATATCAAGAAGCACGTGGGCTCTAGATGGATGGACTGTAGCGACAGACAGAGAAGAATGGAAAAAGGATTGGGGAGGCCCTATGTCCAACGATGGAACCGAAGAAGGGCTAATTAGATAGATTAGATAGATGGTCCAAGAAATCGGCCGATGACAGAGGATGAGGTAAGGAGAACAGACGAGAGATAAAAGAAGCCACCGAACGATTATTGAAGTTAAGGAATGCAGTTAAAAAAACTAGCCAAGAAACAAATCAGCACCCGGATAGATAATTTCTTAGCTGCACCATAAAAATAAGGGTGGCCATGATACCATATTGCATTTACAGCAGCTTATAAAAGAAAATAGGATACACAAATCCCACCCCCAATGATTGGAATATTGGAATACTTTGCCACTATACAACATAAAAGAAAAGATATCTATGACTGCAATAACCACAGACAGGAATTCCGCTTCTAAATGCATAGTTTCCAACGTACTTATTTGTCACCATAGTTGCAGGAGGTGGTAAATGGACAATGCATCGGATTGAAACCCTGAAAAAAATTTTTGGGAAAAACACTGGAATATAGCACAATGTTCCTCATCACATATTTATAGACTACAAAGCAGCCTAACGACTCTGTTGGATATGAAGAAATAATGTTCAAAGCAACGAAAGAGCAGGATCATACCAAATCAGTTGGTAAATTTTATGCTTTTTGTTGAAAGAGCGGACCCCTGGTCTCTTTCCACAAAAAAAAATGAAAAGCGTTAGGATGTTATATAAAAAGAAAAGTACTTAAGTACGAAATCTATTTAAGCAGTGAATGACAAATGGAGTGTGGAGAAGACGATACAACTTTCAAACTTTATAGAATATCCAGAACACTTGATATCGTTAAACAACATATGAAGATAGGACATCTGAGGTGGATAGTGCTTCTTGAAAACGCTTCTTGATAGAGCCATGTACACTGGACAGACCCCCAAAGACAGCTATTTATATGACGAGCCAGAAGGAACCAGGAAGAGAGGCAGGTCCAAGATCTAGATTTAAAACTCAAGTCGAAGAATGACTTGAGGAATCGAGGGGTTCAGCAGAAATGGGGAAAGCCAGTGGCGAATGAGATAGGGGGGAATGGAGACTAATTCTTCGAACAGGTCAAGCCCCACCCAGGGTTGTAGAACCAAAGATGATGATAAAGCCATGGGTCAGAAAAACAAGAAAACGTGCTTGGCGGAGAAAATGCGCATGGATAGGGAGACTGACTGGAGACGAAATTCCTGAGGCGGCTAGGGACCCCAAGCAGGAGATTGTAAAAGCCCAGAATGATGATGATGGTCTGCACCAGATAGAAACTCTATGAACACAAATAAAACTTGGGGAACCCAACGTAAAAGATAAAAGTTTAAAGACTAATGATGATGCATCCAACTGTAAACTATGATACATTCTAATTTGAGAAAATAATATATCATCATTACACGCGACGGGCAAAATTTAGACAGTTCAATATTTTCGTTCGTTCTAAAATATTTCCGTAATCGATATTAGTGGATATATTGAAAAAAGGGGGTGGAAACGTAATATTAAATATTACCAACTATTAACTAAACAATCAACGATATTTGTTAGTTATTTAGAAATCAGCTTTGTATATGAATATTTAAAAATTGTATTTCATCAAAAGTTTAAAAAAATTATTTTTTCCACGATAGCGGTTCTTAAATTTACTCGGGTTACAAAGAATTTAAAGGTTTCTTATAAAGTTGTTATGATTTACTATAAATTTTTCTGATTTAATTTTAAGGGTAAGAGTTATCAAAAATCTCTCGTAATGTAAAACCAACTGAAAACCAATGTATCACGTCATAACTTTAAACCACATGATTACCTGAATCATACTTGGTTAACTTTAACAGTCCATCTCTTCCATACTGATCACTAGCATGCAAATACTGCATATTTTCCAACTGTTTGTAATGTTCCAGTACGCTATTCCAATCCCATCCAATGTTGCCAAGTTCCGCCCAATGATCGTAGTCTCGTTTATCTCCTCTCATATACAACATCGCGTTAATAGTGCTGGTACCTCCCAATACTTTTCCCTCTTGGCCAACGACATTGCCCATCTTTGTAAGCCAAACATGATGTTTCCGAAGGTTCGGTTTTATACGGCAGTCTTCGTCGCTGCCTTGCAAACTGAACAGAAATGCTGGTATCTAAAAAGGAACACTCTTCAAATAATATATCTAAAGAAAATTTTTAAATGCTTAATAAATAGTAATGTCCAGTAGTCTACTTAAACAATACAATGATTTATTCCACAATATCGAAATATCTCAGGTTACATTTGGAGTTAAGGCTCCTATGGACAAAACTATTACCACAAAATAATTCAAATTGATCTTAATTGAACAAGCGCAAACATTCCCAAATTCTGCAGAGAACCCCACAGTATGTGTTTTTGGAACTATTTCCTAAGGATTAATTCACCTAATTGTATTTCAAACCAATCATATTTTACGTTCAAAATCACGGAGGAGGGAAATGGGATGTTACAACTCACACAGAAGACGAAGTCAAAACATTTCTTGAAGTAAATTTATTAATGGGTATAAAGTAAATGTCCAGTTACATAGATTATTGGTCGTCACGTGACAAACTTAACAAAGTGCGACCTCTACTTCCCAAACTCACGGAAACGTTTCATGCAGCACTAAATCCACATAAGTTTCAAGCGGATCTCATGAGTCTATGAAAGATTCAAAGGTCGAGCAGTATCCGACAATTAAATGCCCAATAAACGTATAAAACGTGGCTACAAAGTATGGGCTTAGAGCAGTTTCAAGCAGTTTCATGTGCGAGTTCCAGATATATTTATATATATATATATATCTATATATATATATATATATATATATATATATATATTATATTATATATATATATTTATATATTTTATGATAGTAAAATCGAGAAAAATATTGGTTTGCTTAAAATATTTCAAAGTTCAAAAAAATTAAAATAATTCAGATAAGTCAAACAATAAACTACAAACATTTCGAAGAATGAAAGTCTTTTAATTTTGGATTACCTGTATTGAACAAAACGTAAGATATGCATAAATTATTTTCTTTGTTAAAATATATTTGAGTGACCTGCATAAGCTTAAGTGAAATCCTAGACAATGGAAGCGGGTTTTCCAAATAAATTTGTGCAGTAATTAGGACAATAGAATAGATTTTAGAAAGATATGTTTTTGTTAGTTCATAAGAATTGGTAGAAAAAGATTATTTTGTAAATAAGTTTTAGGAAATTTTATAATTGTAGGTAAAAATTTGTTTGTGTTATCGAAATGAAGAAATGGGAGATGTATGACGCGTTTTGATTGGATGAGATTGAAAAAGGTGGGATGGTTGGTTTGAGAATGAGACGTTAGTTAGTTTTTGAAGAAAAAAAAAGATAGTCAGTTGGTTTCCAAGGGTGCAAGGCGAACGGCCGTTGTTCTCGGGTAGTTTCCCAGAGGTAGGAAGCAGTAGCAGTGAAAGTTTGTGAGTTTTCGTGTAGTTAGTGTATCTGACAGAAGCTGATCCAGTAAAAGATTGTAAGTCATATTTTTCTACTTATATTCCAAGAGTCACTGTTCAGGCCAACGAGAGATTCAGTTTATCGTAAAGAGAAGATATTCCAAGAGTCATTTTTCACTCAGGCCAACGAGAGATTCAGTTTATCGAGAGGAGAAGAGGCTAGCATAATTTGAACGATTCGTGCATTTGAAGGAGATCATTAAGGACGATAAACTTGCAACAATTTGTTGTAAGATTGCTGATTACCTAGGGAGCTGCTAAGAATAGATAGTATAGGCTACAAGGAACAAGGATTTGGACCACTCATCATCAGAGAGAGATAGTTTTGTTTTTCTGCAGTTTTTCTTTTATTGATAACACAATTTTTACAATTACTTTAGAAAAGATATAAATATTTTGATTAGGAGATTTAGAATAATAATTGGGATTTTGAGATTTTAACTAATATTGTTTGTACCATTAATTTTGAAGGTTCACGTACGTAGAACAAAATTTTGAGAATCATTATATGAGATATTGTTTATTGAAAACATTTGAGTGTGAATTTTATTTCATTATTTTTATTTCAATATATAATGTTATATCATATATGTTTTTTTATTATTCCGGTATTCTTTGGACCTTACCTTTCACATGTAAAGCATAGATATTGAAGCACGAATATAACCCTGAGATAAGAGAATTAAAAAGTGTGATAGAATCATAATCATATCATTTAAATAATTTTAATTAATTAATTAATTAATTAGCTAATTAATTGCTTGGCGCACTAAGACTTTGAATATCACAATAATATATATTTATATATATATATATATATATATATATATATATATATATATATATATATATATATTTATATATATTATATATATATATATATATATTTATATATATATATATATATATATATATATATATATATATATATATATATATATATATTTATATATAATATATATATATATATTAAATAATTACAATAATAATAAATATAATAATATATATATATATATATATATAGTTATATATTATAGATATATTATTATCTATATGTATATTTATTAATTATATATAGTTATATATATATATATATAAACGAAAAAAACTCAGGACAACGAGTCGTACAGGATCTAACTAAGAGTCTTAGTAAATAAACACCACCGAGTGTTCTTTGGCAACTATTTTAACTGTATTGATCTTCAGAGATTATTGTCGGTCGGTATTTATATAAGTGGAGCCGTTAAAAAAATTGATTTAACAGAGTTCAAAACTGACAAACAAATGAATAGAGGAGATTCATAGTACCATATTTCAATAGATGGACTATCTTCGTTGAAGTGGATGGATCGCAGAAGTGTGATTCTTGTAGCAAATTACCAAAATCCAGTAACAAACGAAGTTGTAAAGAAAAGACAAAAAGAAACATGGTAGTGCTCTATAACTCACATATGGATATGTTGACAAATTTGGCATGATGAAAAGTGTTTATGAGGTGAATCTTAACTCACACAAGTGGTGGGCATAGTATATTCTGTTATTTTTGTGAATGTTTGCGTCTTAAACGCATTCATTCTATTTCAAGTTAGAAGCCAATCCAAAAGTATGTCTTTGAAAGAATTCCGGCTCTCTGTGATTGGAGGCCTTATTGGAGCTCCAGAACATATAAAAAGGGGAAGACCATCAGCAGAAAAACTAGTGAGTAAATTCAAAAGGCATATTGCCGTGGAACTGCGCCATTTAAAATCTGCCCCAAAGAACAATGTTAGGTATACGACTGTTCAGATAAAAAGAGGAACGACTGGGTAAGATCCAAAACAAAAGTCGAGGACATAACAGCAAAAATTGCCAAACTTAAATGGAGCTTCGCGGGCCACACTGCTAGACAGAAAGGACCAACGTTGAAATACTACAATACAACATAGGAGACCTTACGAAAAGTAAACGACCAAGAGGAAGGACCACAGATGAGATGGGTTGATGACATTAAAAGAATAGCCGGAACAAATTGGAAATATGTTGCTCAAGATAGAGACCGATGGAAGGAGTTGGGAGAGGCCTATGTCCAAACATGGACGACAGAAGGCTAAGAAAAAGAAGAAGAGCCCAAAGAACTACTTCTTTGAGATGTGACAACTGCAGTACGACAGCAAATGTTAGCAGAACGCAGTGGATATGCTCTTCTTGTAATGTGGGACTTGGTCTCAAAGACGACAAAAATTGTTTTGCAACTTTACATGTAAAGCAGTAGGAAGAAAGAAGTGGTGCCTGGTGTTTATTTCTAATTTAATTTTTTGTTACGGTATGTTCCTGCTGGTATCTTGAGAATGCCACATCCTGCAGGATATACTTCAGGATCAGCATTGTTTATTTTGACTGAGTTTTCTTTAAGGCTTGTTTTATCGGTGCACCAAAATTTTTTCTCTGTTATTACGACGAAATGTCGTCGAAATTTGGACATGTTATTCGAAATTATGTTGCCTTTAAAATGATCGTTTTACTTTTTTATTTTTTTTGAATTTTCTGTTGAAAAATTGGATTATACTGTTTAACGTTCTATTATAACCAAACTTTTCACGCCCATCAGTTGAAAGAGTTTTTTTTTCTGTAATCGTTGATTCTTTTTTCACCTTTCTGTGTCCAGTAATAATCGAGAAAAGCGTATTCAAACTTTGAAGAAAATTGCTAAAAAATACTGAAATCTATAGTGAAACGTGTTCCTCATCATTGTCGCTTAGCTTGATCGTTATCGCATTAGTGACGTCAAATCTCATGAACGTACGGTACGGTCTTATTTTTATTTCTCTATGGGTACGGTCAGTTAGTTCGCTTGAATCAGAATCCATTTTAGTTCTTTCATTCTTGTATTTTCTTTATCAACTTGCTTAGTTTTTACAGTTTACAGTATTCTTATTTATTTTGAAAACATTGAAATTATTTAGTTTACGGGTATGTTTAAGTAATATATTATTAGTTTAGTGGTATAAGTTAAAAGTTCTTTAGTTTACGCGTATTTTTAAGTATTACATTAGGTTAGTGATATAAGTTATAAGAGACAAGATAAAAAATGAGTCCCAGTAAACGTCCTAGGTCAAGGAAAAGGAGAGCAATTGCACTGCAGTAAGTATTTATTATTTATATATTTACAACCGTTTTTAAAAGCTTTTATTTAACTTGTTTGTTTTATTTAAAAATATATAATAGTTTATCTTCAGTAAGTTCGTATCTTTTTCCTAGAATAATTTTGTTTCTTTCTCATATTTTTAGGAACTTAAAAATCAAAAAAGCTACTATAAACAAAAGTTCTTCATCAAATAGTTCATTCCATCAAGAATTAGCAGAAACATCTACTTTACCTAGTTGTAGTGTCGATTCGTAAGTAACCCTTTTTACTTTTTTTTATTTACTTACCGTAAAGTAAGTAAATAGAGGGTTCATGACCTTACATATTATTTGTTTATGGTCAAAATATTACCAATGTTTTACTCTTAAATAATAATAATAACAAATAATATCATTTGCAGAAAATACTTTAAATTTTATCGTTATTTCTAGTAATAGCTGTCATTCTCAGTCAGTTGAGATTGCCTCTCCGCAAAAAACCATCTTTTTCGGTAGAAGGCAGAAGAATAGTGGACATAAACTTTTTCATTAAATCTATTCAAGGTTTGAATAATCATTCTCCATTTTCATGCAACTTTTCTAATATGGAGATTATCAAAGAAAAAATGGACGGATTGATAAGTACATTGACTTTTAAATGTCAAATGTGGAATATTGAAAAGGAGATAGCAACATAGGATTCTGGTAACAATTCACTGAACTTGAATGGTTCTGGTTATTCAGACATACAGCAGCAGCACGCTGCATTAAATATACCTGTGATGTCCTACAGGCAGTATGCAAAACATACGGAGACAGTTGCAGATATCATCGGCCAAACACTTTGTGATTCTTAGAAGAGGCTGGACGGGAGGAATTAGCTTTAGCCAAAGAAATTGGTGAAGTAGATTCCGACGGAAATGGGTTAATAACCGTTATAGCTGATGGTGCTTGGTCAAAAAGATCGTATAAAGTAAACTACGATGCTTCTTCAGGTGTAGTACCTGACGTTGTAAAATTTATTAAATTAGTACGCCTTTGATGGATAGGACATGTAATTAGGCGAGATGAAGATGAAACGATCAGAAAAATTTCGACCGAAGAGGACCAGTGGGAAGACGATCCAGAGGAAGACAAAACTTAGGTATCAAGATAACATAGAGGATGATCTAAAATCCATCGGAGTTAAAGCATGGATGAAAGTTGCCAGAGGCAGGGGCGAATGGAAGATTGTTCTGAAGAAGCCTTTGGCTCATGATGAGCTGTAATGCCACTGATGGTGATGAAATAACTATCCACGATTTGTGTTTTATCATCAATTGAATACTTTTCTTATGTAACTGCAACCTATAAATATATAAAAATAATGTATATTCCATTCAGAGAACATTTTTCCTCGCAGTGCGTCGCCTCGAAATACTTGCCAGATAAATACATTTACTATTATGATGGTATCGCAGGTACAATTTTTTATAGATAAATAAAAATATTTTTTGTTTAATTTTTACTACGCTAATATCAGTTTTCTCTAACACATAAATAACTTCTTGAAATAATTTTCAAGCTATAACTGCGAAATTGTTTATTTGTTTGTGACAACAAATTGTAATTTTTTTGATAATAATATTCTTATGTTATTTTAAATTTATTATAAAATGGTGTTTTTTGCAGTCACGTTTCACAAATTTTTATTTAATACTATGTTTAGCTAAGACATATAAATTAAAAATGTGATTAATTCTTTTTAAAGCATTATCTACGATAATCAATCTAAAAAAAAGTATTCCGACAAAAACTAATTTGAATGGTAGAATAATGCATTTATTGTCATTAAACAACCCGTGGGCCGGCGCCACTGAATAAACATCGAAATTGCAGATTTCAAAGTAGGAAGTCCGTAGGGTCTGACATAAGCAGTGTAGAAAAGTAAGTGATACGCCCACTTCAAATCGCAGTATGCTATAACTGCGAAAACAGCCTTTACAAAAATCCTGTTTTTTAAAGTGTGTAAATTAACAAATTTATTCTCACATATTATTTTTATTAAAAAAATTTTCAGTGCCATTAATATTAATAGTATGGCCTAGATATATATACATACTGTATATATCTAGGCCAGACAGGATATTTATTACCACAAATAGATTCTAAAATCTGATAATATTTTATATTTAAAGTTGTGTTGATATAATAAAAATTGTAAACATACGTCACTAAGAACGGAAGGGTATCCTCCGGCCTCCAACACTAACACTCGCCAATCGGTATTTTCACTTAGTTTATTCGCAACTACAGACCCCGCTGATCCTGCTCCTATTACTATAAAATCAAACTCGTCTCCGTCTTGCAGTTTTGGTCCATAATCTTCGGGATAATCCTGTTTGGAACCCAAATTACTTTTTAAACTGAACAGACGAAGAATAGACGCTAAAAACAAATAACCAACTGCACCTTGTATATTCTCTAGAGACACAATATCTGGTATATAAGCACTGAGTGTATCCATTTTCTTGTATATCACAAATTAGCCACGTAATTTGTTCATTTATTTATTTAATATATTGTTTGTATGGGAAAAAAGTTTTAACCACTCTCACAAAAAAAGATTTAAAACAATTTTATTTTCAACATACATTTGTACTCATGACCTTAATCATACCCGTCCAATAAGTAGGGGAGATAAATGTTGAATGTTGTGTTTTATTACAAAATAGCAACGCCAGTCCGCCAGCGACACGTAGTTAGTTTCGTTAAGAACATTTGCCGTGTGTTATGTGTTATCATTCGCAGAGAGTTCGTAGTTCTCTGTCATTAGTCATTCGTATGATGGAGAAAATTTGTTTGCACGACCAGAAGATTTGTATTTTTGCGCGCGACACTACCTTATAAATATGCGTGATGAAATAAAATGGGATTTATCTTATACACACACAGATGCGATAAAAATATTAAAAATAGATTATCGTTATAATATCATAAGAGAGAATATTTTTCCAGCAATATTTTGGACTGGTATGAAAGTTTGTTGCCTGTCAATTTTCGCGAATTAAATTTCATAAGCGAAAATTTGCAACAGGCAACAAACTTAAATAAAACCAGAAGAAAATTTTGCCGGTAAATAATTTTCCCTCGAATGATATTCGACAAGACTATTTCACGAAACAATTACACCATATCAACGAAACATAATAGCCCAGGCTGTGGGGGATGTGTGTGTTTGTGTTTTATGGCACTGGAACTAAGCCAATTAGCCAGAGGCTGGGGGGGGGGGGGGAGGGTGATTTTACACTGTAATCCAGGAATATGTCAGTTCATTCAACAAAAAATTTTTGGTGATTGTTTATTCATGAGCGTTTATAAAAGTGCAAAATACGAATTTTTGGGAGTTTTTTTTTCATTTTTTGCATAAAGTAAGTGTTTCAATGGGTTATTTCTGTATACAGATTGAACGAAATAAATTCGAAACATAGGAAACATCATGTATTTCGGCTCATTTCTGCTGTAGGAGGTTGGCCAACAAAAGGTTGTCAAATAATTATATTATAAAAACCCAATACTTCTGCGGGCTGCTGGATTCTGAACTCATAAAAATTGAAAGCTACACATAAATCTACGATTTTATTATGCTGTCAAACCACTTATAGTCCAGGAAATGAAGCATTTCACCTCGTAATTTTTTCGTCCTGCGTGGATTAACTTGAAATTTTAACAGAAGGTAGGTAATAGCCTAAGGATCAAAATCTATATCGAACCAAAGTGCGCCAAAGCCTTGGGGGTGGTTGCCACCCCATCCCGGGGGTGAAAATTTTTTTTACGTTTAACTACAGGTTTCGATTAAAAAGTGATTATAAACAAAAAATGTTCTATACATTTTTTTTTGTAAAACTGATATTTTTCAAGTTATTCGCGATTGAAAGTAACAACTTTTAGACGAAAAAATCGACGTTTTTAATCGATTTTTCGCGAATAACTCGAAAATGGTGCATTTTATCAAAAAATTGTAGAGAACAAATTTGTAGCTTTTAAAAAGACAAATACAATTCATTTTTCAAAATGTTTTTGCGATATAATAGGAACCGAAATACGGCCTATCAATGTTCAGCGGTTTTCTTCAAATGCCAAATTTGAAAGATTCAAAGTCAAATATCGGGAAAATGATGCATTTTTGGAAGAAAACTCACGCAACCTTTTTTAAAGAGCATAAATAGATCTATCATAAAAAAGACTCTAGCTCAAAAATTGAGTGAGTTATGATGAAAATAAGGCCAATACCTCATTTTTTTACGAAAAAATCGATGAAAACAACCCCCTAACCACTCCCATAATTAAAATCGATCTTCACCCTTCTGCAATTCTCTTTGTACATGTATTGTTAATACGTCCAAGAAGTTTGACCCATTTAAAATGCTTAGTTTTAGAAAAAGTACAGCTTAAAGCGAGAAACGATTTACAATTTCATATTTTTTACCCTTCTTTTTTTAAATATCCCCGAAAATACTGAATATATGAAAGAAATAAAAATGTACTAAATTGTAGCTTTTTTAATGACTAAAATTTCTTTTATTTAGATTTGTTGTACAATGAATATTTGGCGAGATATAGCCGTTTAAAGCATCGATTTACGATCAAGCACCATCTTTTTCGAGCCCTTTAAACTCACCCCATTTAAAAACCAAGGGTTCCAAAGAGATTTAATTCACAGATCCTTGTAGCTCTTAAAAACCTCTACAAAATCGTTTTTGAGGAAACACTCTATCGTTAAAAATGAAGGAAATACGTTAAAAAACCAATTAATTTTTTTTTCGGAAAATTCCATTAGTATAGTACAGTACATTTTGGAGCATAATAATCTACAAAACCGGTATATTAGGTAGTGGGGCGTTATACATTCGAAATTTTAAGCGTTCTTATTTTGAAATCCCATACAACAGAATAAAACATTTGCTCATATGTTTATGGCTTGGCAATGAAAATATCAGAGCAACAGACTGGGGATGGTATTCCAAAGATGGTTTGTTATTACCCGTACGCATGAACAAACAACCTGCACCCGATGAACTTTTGAAAATTATTTTTGCCAATGCAAAAAAGGATGCGGCGTTTCATGTGGGTACAGAAAAGTTGGTTTATACTGTAACTTTACTTGTTCTGGGTGCTCAGGTGAAGGGTGCAATAATAGTCCACCAATAATTGAAGAAGATGAGGATGACATAGATCACGATGAAGATGTAATTGATGACGAATAAAATTAATATTATAATTGTTTTACCTATAAATGTAAATATTTTCAACTATTTATGTAAATGTATAAGAATATATGGTGCCTTTTTATGTTGATAAATTTTTTGTATTTAATTCTACTTTTTTCAATTTATATCTATTAAATTAGTTTATAAACTGCACCCTTTACAACTGCAATGTTGTAAAGGGTGATTTTCAAAAGTTGAAAAGTTGCAAAATTTTGGCAAAAAATTGTTTTTACCTATAGCACTCATAACAATTTATTTTTAAGGGTTGAAAATGTATGAAATTGAATTTTAAAGTATAAAAAAATCACTATTTAACTAATCCAAACCAAATTTCACTCATCTTAAGATTTGTAATGTTATTTTACAATTTTTGAAAATTAGGGGTAGTTTTCAACCCTAAGAACAATCAGGGTTCATCGGCATGACATAAACTATCAAGCAGAGGGTGAGTTAAGCTTAATCATTTTTTATGCAAATCGTTCCAAGGCGAAATCATTTTCTTCGCATTACTAATTTTTTTACATTAATCTCTAACAAGGGTCGCTTTTTAAGGGTTGAAATATGATGGAACTTTATTCAAAAGCACGAAACTATCATTATTTAATTAATTCAAACCAAATTTTACCCATATTCAGGTTTAATATGTTATTTTATAATTTTTGACAATTAGGGCTAGTTTTCACCCCTAAGAACAATCAGGGTTCGTCTACATGACATAAACTATAAAGCAGCGGGTGAATTGAGCTTAAATCCAAATTTTTATCCAAATCGATCCAAGGCGAAATCATTTTTTTAGAATTAGTAATTTTTTTACATTAATCTCTAACAAGGGTTGCTTTTTAAGGGTTGAAATATGATGGAACTCTATTCAAAAGTATAAAATAATCATTATTTAACTAATTCAAACCAAATCTTACCCATATTCAGGTTTAATATGTTATTTATAATTTTTGACAATTAGGGGTAGTTTTCACTCCTAAAACCATTCAGCGCACTTCGGTTCGATATAGATTTTGATCCTTGGGCTATCACCTACCTTCTGTTAAAATTTCAACTCAATTCATGCAGGACGATAAAATTGCGAGGTTTTAACTTTTTTCGAGCTTCATTTCCTGAACTATTAAAAACTTCCTTAGACAAGCAACATTGTTACACAAACAACATTGTTGCGAGACAGATAGTTGAACGATATTTTATACAATGTCTATACCCAGGTATGGATTTATTTTTGTCCAAGTTTTATATTGGTCCACTATTTTAAATGCAGTTCAAACAGACATATATTAAATTGTATGTTCCGTTTTAAATTCGTTCTATCTGTATATTATTAAAGTACTCTAAAATTTAAAGTACTTAAATCTGAGGCGGTATACGTTCAATTTCATTTATTTGTTATTGCAAAAATGACAATTGAAGGTCAAAATTAGAAAACGTAATACTTATTGCAAAATTGCTTTTTTTATTTCAAATATATTACATTCAAGCCTATAAAATTACGAATCGACGAATCGAATGAGCCGTAGTAGGCCTAGATCGCTTAATTTGTTGCTGAGATACGTCAATTAGTTTATCCCACGACCTTCAACTTTGAATGCTCATAGGATTGCCAAAAAACATGGTATAGAGCCAATTCTTATTTCATTCTCTTAAAAAAAAATTTTAGCCCGTTAAAAACAATTATTTATGAAGTTGTAAAATTGGAGTTATAAAACATTTAAAGCGGCAGCGCTCCCTATGTACCCTAAAAATTTCTAATTTGCAGATTATTGTAGGCGAATTAGCCTACAATACAAATATAAAATATTGTATTCGAGGCGAAGACTAAAAAAAAGAGTTTTCTACGACCAATAGGAGCCGAGTTAAGATAATTTTTTTTTAATCACAGAGGCTTTATTAATAAAAATTAAGAAACGAATCTGGTGACGCTTGGAAAAATTTGCAATATCTCGGTGAAAAATGAACCAATTTCGATGATTTTTTTTTAATCTGGGGTAGCTCGTCGAAATAATAACATGTGTAATAGTTTCACACTTAAAAAACCACCTCCAACCCCCCTAAAAAAATTTTTATATTCATTTTTTTTTTCAATTCTTTTTACTTTTACAATACTATTAAATGTAATCTCCTACCAAATTATTATTGAGAAAATTCTAAAATATAAACTACTATTATTTTAGTATTTACCTTTTTTTTGAAATACTTACTCTGGCTCGTTGTGTAATCTTTTATCAGTGAAAAATTATGTTAAAGTAAACTTCAAATGATTAAAATTTCTATTTAAAATAGAAATCTATTTTCAAAAAAAAAACTCAAAAAAATTGATTTTAAAAACTTTTGGTCAAACTAGATTTTTAGTACAATTTCGTGAGAAATTAAATAATTGGTTTAATAAATTAACATAAACATCAGATATAAGTATATCTTAAATTGCAAATTACTTTGATAGAAGAAATAAATTAGTAAAATAAAGACATAAACAGTAAAATAATGGACCAATATTTGTACACTTTTTGTTATTATTGTTCCCCTGGTGTTGACT